TTCTCTCCTCTCCTCCCCTCCACCCACACTCTCTCTTTTTCTCCGAGCCCCCAGCAGTACCACCATCACCACCAGCACCATCATCTCTCTCTCTCTCTCGCTCTCTCTCTTCCCTGTCCTTTACCACTCTTTTCCCTCTGTCCCTCCCTCCTCTAAAGCCTTCAGGCTCTGCTTGATTTATGCTTGCCCTCCCTATCCACACACACCCCACCACCACCATCACCACCACCCACCCTTCCCTATCTCTCCTGGAGGTTGTGGCCCGGCTAGTCCCTAAAAACAACAGAGAGAGCAAGTAAGGGAGAGGAAGACAGACAGAGAGAGAGAGAGAGAGAGAATAACAACCTCTTTTACTTTCCATCCTCCCTCCTTTTTAACCCAGCATTTTTTTCATTCCCCTCTCCCACACTGCTTTTTAAATTGCCTCTGAATTCTTGAGCTGTTTTAGTGCCTCACTCCCCCTTCTCGGCTGAAATTACTTTTTTACCCTCTCAAACTCTGGCATGCTGAGGAAGCAAGTTCTACCTTCCCTCCCCTCTTTGTCCACGCGAGGACAAACACGCACTAATCACACGTACAGTGTGTGGAGCTGTTTGTGAGAAAAAAAAGAAAAAAAAAGGTGAAGGAGAGACTTTCGTTTTCCCGTTTGGAAGCATGTCGCTGTAATGTCGCATAGACAATACGCCGAGCAGCAGGGTCTTGTGACAACACGGCTCTTGTAATGCCTTGTCCTTTTCAACCTCAGGCTGGCTGAGCCATTAACCAGGCCGAGTTGGGGCAAGGCTTCTTTCTGAGTCTTTCTCTGTCGCACGCACGCACACACATACACGTACGCGCACACATACATACACACAAAGAGACACAGTGAGAGAGTCTTTCTCCTTTGTTTGCACTTCCATACTCAAACATGCACACAAGCCCTACTTTCTTCTTGACAGCTCTCTTGTGGTCGACAAGCCTCAGTAACTCGTTGCTTAACCACCCTGGACTTTTTCTCTCCATTGTGTTTGGCTACTGTCTCTGGTGATTTGAAGGCGTGGTGTGTTGTGTTGTGTGCGTGAGCGTGTGTGACTGGAGGTGTTAAAGGAGTGTGTCCACCAACAGACATGTCATGTGTGCATGTGCAAATAGTGGATGAAAATCCAGTTCATATTGCTCATCCTATCTATCAAAAACCTGTATTTTTATGGGAAATGAAAACTCCCTCACACAACAGAGTGTTTGGCTTCATTTGGAGGCAAAGGAGGCGTATGTTGAAACACACACACACACACACACACACACACACACACACACACACACACACACACACACACACACACACACACACACAGACACACTCCTTGAGCACAATCAGAACAGAAGATCAGAGGTCAAACTGGGTCAGCTGACCCTTCCCTCCCTTTTCAGACCTTCTCTCTCCTCCTCTTTACTGCGTCAAAGCGCGCTCTCCAATAACACAACTCCCCTTGTGAAACACACACTCACACACTTCACTCAGATATATACAGTGCAGCCTCCAACCACAGCACATAAAACTGTATCTTCTATCCATTAGCTGTAACTCTCTCAATGGTTTATAAATGCAGTATCCCTCACAAAACATTTGAAGTATAGTTCAACACACACATCTTTCATTCCAAGGCAAGTCTTATTCCGCCTTTGCTTTTTCCCACTCAAGCCCCCACATAGCTTGCAGCATCGCTCACGCGCTCACACACACACACATTCACACACACACACACACACACACACACACACACACACACACAAACTCAAACATGAACAAAGAGAACCACCATTTCCACATATTTGTCTCTCCTTTTAAAAGGGGGTTTGATTTAGCATAAATGTTGAAGCCAAGGGTGCCCGGCTACCATGGCAACCAAATTAAACGGAGGATCTCTTCAGAAAGCAGAAATCTAAATTATTCGGACTCTTTTATGAAGGGGAAAATGAAAATTCCCTTCACTGTACAGAGACCACTGCACTGTAAAGGCAAAAGAAAGGAGGGGAAAAAAATGAGGAAAATGCTATTGTTTTTTTGTATCTGACCATGCAGTTCAAAGGCGTACCATGCCATTGAAATTCATAGGTTGTCTCATGACAACCAGTACGTTAACACTCAGCATATGTGCACAAAGGAATGATGTAACCGCAGTGTCTCTAAAACTCCAGATAAACCCATTGCCTCTGAAAGACACTACAATACGTGTGTCTACAAATCCTCAGTGAAACCCGGCACACGTATGATGAAATCCATAAGCTGCGTGCATGGGATTAGGTGCGACTGTTTCTGGTGTGGTAAATGATTTTATCTGTTGGAACAGGATGAGGTTTAAGTAACACACCATCTACGTAGGGCCGATAAAGCTTACATAAGTGAAGGAGGATTATGTACTATATTCCGATTATTTGGTGCGGAAGCCTGTTTGTGGTCAGCTGAATACTAATTTCTAATATCTCACGCTTAGTCCCGGAAATGTGGATAAATCCCCAGAAAGCGGGATACTGTATGTTGCTCAATGGAGTGTGTCAGCAGGACACGGAGAGAGTCCTTTGCTAATGTGTAAAACATATATTAAAATATATATATAAAAAAAACAAAAACAAAAGTCAGAAATTGTACTGTTTCTGCAGGGAAATCACGAGGCAATCACATTTCCATAACTCTGCCATTTAAATCTGCAGCGTGTGACTGAGGCGTTATTACTGTATGACTGTGAGGAGGGCGGACATGTTACATCTGTAGATGCATGTGTCCAGGGGATGCTGGGAAAAGTGGTCAGGGGTCATTCACTCGTCCAATGAACAGATGAGTGGAGGGAGATGGGGGTCAGAGGTGACCCTCTTTTCTCTCTCTCCTTCGCTTCCTCTCCTTCCATTTGTGTGCCTCTCCTTTCTCCATATATGTGTATGCGTGCGTGTGTTTGTGCGTGTGTGTGTGTGTTTGTTGTTGGCCAACAGCAGATCTATGTTATTGATTGACTCCTGTGGCTGCTGGGCTGCCCACTGAAGGAGGGGGCAGAGCTCTAATGAATTCCTGCACCTTATGCCCCTTGCGCCAACCCCTACACCCCCTCCTTAATTAACTTTGTTTGTGTGTGTGTGTGTGTGTGTGTGCGGGTGGGGTGGGGGTGGGGGTGTGCGTGGATGCATGCATGTGTGTTTTGTGTGTATCTTCTGTGCTTCCTCCACAGCTCAACACCCCCGCTTTTACACTCCCCTGCCTTTTTTCCTTTCTCTTTCTCTTTCCACCCTGTCCGTGCCTCCTCTCTTCTTCCTTCATTTCTCCTACTTTATCTCCTCTTTTTATATCCTTCCTCTGCGTCTGCTTAGTAGTTTGAAGGCTGCTGATGACTTCGTATGTGTGTCACTCTTATCTGTCACGCCCCATCTCCATCCCCGCGTCCTCAATATCTCACTCGCATCTCTGCACCTTTCAGATCTATGCGTGTATGTGCATACGGAGCGTGTATCCATCCATCTGATCTGTGATCATTTATCTATACTGGGCATGAAAAATGACTGACAGTGTGTGTGTGTGTGTGTGTGAGAGAGAGAGAGAGAGAGAGAGAGACAGAGTGGTCAACATTGACCCGGTAGACTGTGAAGAGGCTGTATACCCATCGGTATTCCAGACGTGGAGGCAAACTACTGTCTCTGTCACCTTGACTCCCCCTGCAGCAGACGAGCACTGGGCTGCACAGGAAACACTTAGCACTACCTGACTGTAGTTAAAATGGACAATAGGGCTATTTTGCTCTCCTGCTCCTATTTTCCTTTTTTCACTTTCTTTCTCCTTCGCTTTTCCGACCGTTCCTGTTCTCCATGCCCCCGCATCACCCCTGTTTCTGTCTTCACTTTGTTTATTCCCCATTAGCTTTAAGTGTGAATTCAGCTGTCACTGCATGGGCTTTGTGGAACAGTAAGCTTATATATTAGGATGTCAGAAGGTTTCTGTCCAGAACAATCACACATAATTATGCACACACCCCCCTTAAGGCGACTCACATGTCTGCATTAGTGCTCAGAAGTCTGTGTGTGTGTGTGTGTGTTTGTTTTAGGTGTAGACAAGCCATTCTTTCAAAGTCTCTAAGTCGGTGATGTGCGTGGTGTGTATTTTTGTCTAAGTCTTTGTTAGAGAAAGCAACCTGTCATCAGTTAAATGTCAATTAGGAGGCAATGGAAGTGTGTTTGTGTGTCTGTATTTGCCTGTGTGCGTGTGTGAGTGTTGAGCGGAGCCGTCGTCGGCAGTGTGGTCTGACAGTCTTGTAGATCTACAGTGGATCCTCCAGCGACATGTCTACTGCTGACAGCTTTTCCACTCACTCAGCTTTCAACGACACTGACGGCTAAACACACACGCAGACATGATGCACACACGCGTACACACACACACACACACACACACACACACACATCACGTCTGTGTGTCTGCCCTTCTCTCCCTCTCTCTCTCTCTCTCTCACTGTCTCTTTATGATCTCCCTGTATTTTTGTTGACTGGTGATGATGAGGTATGTTAGGGAGTCGAGGAGAGAGAGATGAATCAGAGCGGTGACGTGTTGGTAGTTGCTACCGAAAACACTGGGTGTAAATGATGACTCGACTGAGAGATTTGAAAGAATTGGTTTAATATGGTGGTGTTGGGGTGGGGGGGGGGGGGGGGGATTTTCACTCAAGCTGTTATCGCTGCCGGGTGAAACCCTTACATCAACAAAATGAGTACAATGATCAGGATTTCTGTAGTTTGACCACCATCCCTTTTTATCCCCTTTGAGAGGGTTTCACAAATCCAAGATTGGCAGGATTTTCAGCCAATGGAGAAGCATGTCATCCCTCAAATTAAGTCGAAACAGTGTTGTGTGAAATGTTTTGAGGCATTGTCCCGTACCACCTCCTTGAATTTCCCTGCTTTAGTTTCATTGTCAGTCAGCAATAGCTGCAGAAGGACAGAGAAGCCTCACCCATCTTCTGTTACTTTATCCCTATCTTCAGGGGCAGACGTGACCGAACCCAACAGCTCAGACAGCCGCGGCGAACGCCTCGACTTCTTCCTCAAACAGGAAGAGGCTCTCACCGCAGAGCCCGGCTTCATGGGTCCCAACGAATCGGAGGAGGCCGGGGGAGGAGCCGTGGGTGGAACCATCTCATCCGTAGCCAATCTGAAGGCGGCGCTGATGAGTAAGAACAGCCTGCTGTCGCTGCGGGCTGAGATGATGGGAGATGATAACCCCCTGCTCTACGAGTACCTGCCCAAAGGAGGACACTCCCTGTCGTGTAAGTCACTGTTTACTAACACTGTGCTCACACTGATCATTAACACACACTTACACCCAACCAGTCACACATCTCATCATAACTTACAAGTCAAGTATACACAAACCTACTCGTGTGTCTTTTTTGAGTACCTGCTCATATGGTCACCTGTGAGACTTAAAACATACAGGCTTGACCGCTTTTGACATGAGTGTCCTCTGCTGCAGAGTATTTTCCCTCATCAGCCACTGTATTTGGATAACACTGAATGCATGCTTGCGTGTGTGTGTGTGTGTGTGTGTGTGTGTGTGTGTGTGTGTGTGTGTGTGCGCGGTGCCACTTGAGTGTGTAACGAGATTGTGTGGCAATGCCAGTGATGAATAGTCAGCGGTGACTCAGTGAGAGAACATTTTGCTGGGATCGCTCTTGCTGTCGTGAGAAAATTTGTTTGGTTTTATGTGACAGTTTCTTTGTGCGTATCAGTGGCTCTACGGCTGTTTCACAGCAGCAAAGTAACACAACAGAACTGCAGCAACTGTTCACATATTAGTTTCTTACTGAACTGCAGCACCAAAAGTGATGAAGAGCTTTGCTGTACTCAACTACGGAATAAACCTCTGCTTGCTGTTAAAAGCTCCTCCAGAATAAAGAGTATTTCTTTAAAATTGGACCTCTGAAAACATAATTTTACAATAGAAAAATGTGATGTCGTGTGAGATAAAACAGATTACAACAAGCTGTAAAACCTTAAGGTATACTCAAGTAATTATTTACCGTACAATTTAATTCTTTTGTCATTATGAATGACTGTGCAAACTATATTTAAATAATTGTATGTTTTTATGTTAAGCCTTCCTCCATTCTTTGAATGATATTTAAATATCCCAACGGAGAAAAACTCACTTTAAATGTTCCAATCAATGCCTCTACTTAATGAAGAATAAATCATTTTCTAATCACATCGATAATAGATCAATACACATGCTGAATTGCGCCTAATTTGTCCACGTTAACAGGAGAATTTGTTCTTCATTTTTATTTGTTTGTTTCTTCAACTTTTTTTTGCCTTCAGTGAAGGTGTTAAACTGTCAGTATGTCTACGATACATGTGTGTATCTCTGAGTGTGTGTGTGTGTGTGTGTGTGTGTGTGTGTGTGTGTGTGTGTGTGTGCCTGTGTGAGCGTATATTTGCTTGAGACCATGTCCGCGAGGGCACATTCGTTTGTGTGACTCTTGTATTTGTGTTTCTTTGCTTTTACTGGCTAGTAATTGGATCTTTTGTCCCGAGTTCTGCCTGTCTTTGTGAGCGGAAGAAAAGCAGAGGAAGGGTACAACTCCAAGCCTAGTCATGCCTTTTGAGTTGAGCCCCACTCACCTACAAAATAAAAGACAGAGCCAAGACTGAATAGACCAAAACACACATTCAAAATTGCACATACGGGCATGTGCTCGCGCACGCACGTCACATCACATCACCCCTTTTGTGTAAGTGTTAAGTGTGTGGGATTGAGATGTTTCTGTTGGCTTAAAGAGGAGAATCAGATGCTGTCACAGCACAGATAGGCAGCCTCACAAGCTCCAGAAAAGAGAGGAGGCTTTTTGATACACACTCACACTTTACAGATACACTCAGCCTTGACTATATGAATAGGAGATTTGGAGAATTCAGAGAATGTTAATCATTTGCTCCATGCTTGGAAAAAAAAATTGTTGAATGAGTATTATAGCTGTATTTCAGTTGTCGCCAAAGAAACCTTAGGGAGGTTTTTGGTTAGCCAAACCTTATTTTGAATTCCCTGCACAATAGGGGTTGGGGAAATGGGCTTGTCATGATGGCCAACAACCTCCCCTCCCTCCTTGGGTCTGCCCCTGTGTCTAAATGAGGACAGAAAATAAACAAACACCGTACCTCAGATTACTGGGCGGAGGATAAGTCTGCCTGGTTTGACAGATCGTTGCTCCCTGCTTCCCTCCCTCCATTCAGTCCTCTTTCCCCTCCTCCTCTTCTCCTCCCTGCTTCTCCTTCACCCCTGCTTAACATCCTTCCTGTCCTTTTTTCCCTCCTGTACTCCCCCTCACCCCATCCCTCCCTCCCTCCTTCCCTCCATCTATTTCTCCTTCACCCCTCCTTAACACTCATCCCTCACACTCTCCCTCACTCCCTCCCCTTCTGGCCGGCTCCTTCAGTGCCTCTGTATTTGTTTCACTCCTGTCTCTTTTCCCCCTTCTTTTACTTCAGCTGTGGTGCATCAAAGTATGTTGGTTTAAAATCCTGGGAAAGTATTGATCTAGGCAGAGAGGAGGTAGAGCAAGGTCACCTGGCCCAATTCAAGAGAGATCACTGAATACTAGCAAGAGGCCTTGACATAGAGTTTCTTTCTCCCTCTCCCTCCCTCTTCCTCTTTCTCTTATCCTCTCTTTTCCGTATAAGTGAATCTTTAATAAAACATTTTTTCTCCATAAGATTCATACATCCAAAATCGGACCAAACTTGAGAATCTGTGTTCTACGGTTTAACCACTCTCTCTTTACATTGATTCAAACCGAGGCCGACCCCCGCCTTGTTGACGGGGCAGGCAATTCAAATGCACGGCTGCTCTCTTCGCCATCCTTTGGATGAGTCACAGATTACATCCTCCTAGCATGTCATGGAATGCCAAAATACAGTGGAACCAGTCTGTATGTCAATCAGCCTCCTGAATCCAATTAAGATCATTTGGATTTGGCCCTGTTAACCCTCTGTGCGTCAGACAATCAATGCCAGACAATGGATTTTGCCGGACCATCCCTGCGCACCTGTCCACACTGCCACCGCGTACCGTCTGTAAAGAACATCCAATTAACTATCGGGATCATACTGACATTATTGAACTTTTCTCCCCACTGCCTGCTCTCATCACTTCACATGTACTTTTGAAAATTGACTCACCCTGTACAGTAGCTCCCAGCGGCTCCATGATTTTAACACAAATTCTGAAGGAAGAGACTTTTCAGTTTAAAATTTGGATTGTACATGGCATCGTTCATACCCTCTGCCTCTCTATTTTAAATACAAGAGGAGAGGAGGAACAGTTAGGGTCAATGTAAAGGCAAATATTGATACAGGAGATGGAAATAACATCAATCTGGTCATGGGATCCTTCCATTAAAGGTGACCTAAACCACTTTATATATAAACCTTTTGGATTTGCTGGCACTTTTCCAAACACCTCTTACCTGCAGGAGATACTGTACATACAGTACCTGAAACATGGATCCAAATCCAGGTTTGCCTTTTTTCATCATATTCTATACAACAATAAAAGGAGTGTAAAAACTGCCCGGGGGGTTTTGCAAACAGGGCGTCATTAGGCCTTTTTGCCATCGAGACATGGGGAACCCCAATCCTATCTGGCTATTTATTCCTAACCTGACTTACCAAGTTTTAGTTGATTGGCTATTGGCAGCTGGTCAGTCACCTTACAGTAACTGGTTTCCTAAAGCCTAAACAGACCTAATAAGTCTTGGCCCTGTTCTGATAGCAGCAGCAGCAGCAGCAGCAGCAGCAGCAGGAGGAGAGGACACAGGTTGTGTCTTAGTGTTAATGTAATTCAGTTACTCTACATTACTGTATTTTTCCTCTTTCTATTTCTTTTGCTCCTGTTGCTGCACAGTGAGTCAGCTTGCTGTTATTTGTATTCTTTACAGCCAGACACGACAGAAATATTAAACTCAGCGAGACAAGATTGCAAAAATTTACAGGCGACTGTTGGAATTCTTCAAGAGGCCTGAACCAACACTGTTTAACCCATTCGACGCAGATATTCCATGATAGTCCTTCCCTGATGAAGTTACCTTCTGCCAGGAGACCATTTGTCAATGAGCTGCTATCTCTCACCTGTAGCTCATCCCTTTACTCTTCTGTCTTCATTTTCTTCCTCCCTGTTAATGTTGTTCCTCCTGTTACTGCCGGGGGTGAGGAAGAAGAGATGGGGAGTTAAGCATTTGTGTGTGTTCTCAGTAAGTGGGAGTGGGGAGTGTCGGGCGCGGTAGTTTAACATTCCAGGAATCCGTCCACGGTCGAGCCTCATGGTTGTGTGATTCTGTCCGTTGTGCAGAGGAGGGCAATGAATGGCTAACCCACTGCATAACTCTGGAGACATTCCCCAAAACGCTGCCCACACTCACACATACTCAAACACACACACACACACACACACACACACACACACACACACACACACACACACACACATTCACACACACACACACACGGAAATAACCTGCAATACATTATACTTTGATTAATATGCGCGATAATAAAAAGAGATGCACTCTCAGCACCAGCTAATGGTGATATTAATGTAGCAGAAAAAGCGCTTGTGTGAATAGTTATAGAGAGCTAAAGGCTCTGTAAGAAATTCCAAATTCTTTATCCAGCGTGCCTTAACTTGTTGCTGGTAAACATCTTACATGGTCGATATAGTCGTCCTTTACCCTGCGTGCACAAAAAGTCTTCACTTGAGCTGCAGGATGGCTCCTGTCCAAAACAACCTCCCTCCACACTACAGAAGATCCTCAAGCCCCCTCTCCTTATATGCATTTTACTTGCTCACACAGCACATGCACACTCTCTCACAAAACACACACATGCTGCCATCCTCTGCGCACGCATGTGGGTGGAAGGAGAAGGAGAGCAGAGGAGCGAAAGAAAAAGAGAGAGAAAGAGAGAAGAGAAGCCCTAACCCTTTCCCCTCGGCTGGTGGAAAGTGAAACTTCAGAGTTTTTCTTCCTCCCCCTCTCCATAGTGTTTGATAGTGTAGCACTGGCAGCCTCTGTGTGCCCCCCTGCCCACTCTCTCCCGTTGTGTTCTGGTGGCCAGCTGCTAGCAGAGTTGCAGTTGTACGTGAGTGGGTGGGTGAGACTCGTTTCCTGTGCTCCTCAGGGCTCCGCTCCAACAACTACTGCAGCACGCTCCGGCCAGGGGCCACGGGGGCCACTATTCATAACAAACAGGGGGCTGGCTCCTCTCCTCCTCCTCC